CCATAAACCCTTTTTCCATCTCTAGGCTGTATACATTCAGACACATCACTGGCTGCATTAGCATTGTTGATCATATCCATACATTATGCTTCTACCAGGGCAAATGGTAAACACTGGGATGGTATGTTTCAGTAGGATTTTAGATTATATAATACGTTTGTTATCAGATCGTCTGGTCTCTGTAGAAGGAAGATCCAGAGACAGAGGATACTGTTCATCAACCAGAGAAGTCTGACCTGCAGGAAAAGACTGAGACAAAGCCAAGGTCAGACAGTTGGGGCTCTGCAGGGAGACAAGAACTCAAGCAGGGCAGCTCTTACAAATGACACTTTGTGAACCCACTTAGGCTGAACCAATGTTTTTGAGAGACTTGAAATACATTAGAGCAACATCATCTTGGTATCAAAACTTCATTCATCAAAAAGTGAACGGTCTTAATGGACCACAAGTACCACAACCTCCACCAGACTGGGCCCAGAACAACTAGATGGTGCCAGGTTACCACCACTGACTGCTCTGGCAGGTATCAAAACAGAGGGTTCCAGACAGAGGGAGGGAAAATGTAGAACAAAATTCAAATTCACAAAAAAAAAAAAAAAGACCAGGCTTGCTGGTCTGACAGATACGGGAGAAACCCTGGGAGTATGGCCCCTGGACACTCTTTTAACTCAGTAAGTCATTCCTGAGGTTCACCCTTCAGCCAAAGATTAGACAGGTCTATAGGGCCAACAATAACACACGCGAGGAACGTGCTTCGTAGTTCAGTCATGTATAGGAGACTAATAGGCACATCAGGCCAAAAGCAAAGACGAGAAGGCAGGAAGGGACAGGAAACCTGGACAAATGGAAACAGGGAACCAGGGTGGAGAAGAGTGTTGACACATCGCAAGGTTGGCAACTAATGTCACAAAACAATTTGCATATTAACTGTTTAATAAGAAACTAATTTGCTCTATAAACTTCCAACTAAAGTACAATTTAAAAAAGTGAACAATCTTGAATGTCCCTGAACTGTTGTACATCCAGTATCAACATGTTATACCCCATATTTTGATGAGGCAGTGCTCTAAGTCAATATATCCAGCTTAAATAAGGAGGTGCTTTGCAAACACAGTGCCTCATTTTCCCCTTGGCACAGAAGCAAGGACAAAAACTTAATGCTAAGCAGAAATGAAGCACCCCCTGGCTTCACACTAGCAGCTGAATCCCATAGGCCAACAGCTAAGATGTTGCCAAAATCCATAAAGACTGAATGACAGGCACACAAAAGAGGCCAACAGGTAACTCCAGACAACAGCCATTTGAGACCCATTCTGTGTCTCAGCCTCGGCTTTGTCTCTGTTTGAGGGCTCTGTGTCCCTGTTGGGAGAGAGAACTTGAGCGCTGAGGGATGAGGTAAAAAGAACAACATTCTCGCCTCTTCACCAAGCCAGTAACGTTTGCTGAGTGGTAAAGATGCATTCCTTCTGTAGTTTCTTTCTCAGTTGTTATGGTGTCGGCAGATTTTATGGGAGGAGGGAGGAGGGAATGTACAGGCTCACTACCCAGAGTAATTTTTGGATGCAATTAGGAGACTCCAGTGGCACTGCTTTAGGATCTGCAAGTTGGAGCAAGTTGCCCTGCATTTAGAGGAGGGATTAACTAAACCAACTCGACCTAAATCAGTTTGCACTGTTCAGATGATATATATGTTCATGAAGCACCCAAGTCACTGATTTGCAGCAGTACTTCCTGGAGGTAGCTTTCTTGCAAGGTACAACATGCTAGATGAGAACTCTAGTAGTCCTGAAAGTAAACGGGAGGGAAACAATCGTCCCTTCTTGCCCTAGTCTCTATCCTTGCCCTGCACAGCCTCTCCTAGTCCTAAACTGGAAGCTGCAAACATGGAGTTAGGTCCAGAACAAGCAGGAGACCAAAATATTGGGCCAAGTCTGAGGCCTCAGCCTAGTCAGCAGAAGACTGCACGTTGTAGGTGCTTAATAAACATGGTTGACTCACCACTGTTAGATGCTAATCATGCGTATACAGCCATGCCTAAAATTACTTATGCCACTTTTCAGTAGAAACTAACTGCCCCTGTGTAGGCTAAAAATGGGGGAGGTTATGTTTTCAAACGCATCTGACTCAGATTGTCAGGTTGGAGTACATTAGAAATGATTCAAACCAAGACTTAAAATAATCACCATTACTCTGTATGTCTAGTTTTATGTATGTTTCCATTCAGTTGTACGCTCATTGAAAAAAAAAAAACAGACTTAGGACCTAAGTATAATAGGTTTGTCTCCCAGAGGGGTTAATAATGCCAAGTTACGGTTTCCAGTAAACTAGGGCTGCTACTTATACCCAGTCTATCCACTATCCCAATAAAAGGTAAATGAAGTACTTTCTTTGAAAAGTACAATGCTGAGGGTTTATAGAACCCTTTCATCTTCAAAAGACCCAGCCAAGACTCACAATACTCTGTACACAATATTATGCCTTTTACATAAGTGCACCAACTATGAACGAAAGGTCATAGGAATGCCCTAAGGCCATAAAAGCCAATGCAACATCAGATTTGGGACAAACTCTCTGATCTTCTTGGCTCCTAGACCTGTATTTCTACTATGTAAATCAAGTTGTGTGGAGCAATCAGGAGAAATCTAATTCATATTATATGTCTGTATTAGGTCAGTTGATTGGGTAGCAATCTATATAAAAATAGCAAAGACTGTTCCCCCTCAGGGCCTTGATGAGAGAAGAGGCGTAAAGGGGGATGGGGGGCTAACCGGCTGGGATGGAGCAACACTGCTTCCAAAACAGAAGAAAAGGGAGGGGGGCTCCCTATTCAGCATTCCTCCTACTATTGGAACATAGCCAGAGAACTGATTAGAGTTCTGGGAGGGAACAGAATGGGGTTAAAGGCAGCCCTTATGGCTCAATTTGAGAACCCAAGGAATCAACCCACACACAGCACTTGTTTATGTACACTGTTCAATATATTCCTTTTTAAGGGCCCCTCTGGGAGCCCTGGTAGCAAAAAGGTTAAGCGCTAGGCTGCTAACCAAAAGCTTGGTGGTTCGAACCCACCCAGCAGCTCTTCAGCTCCTCGGGAGAAAGACCGGGCGATCTGCTCCCGGGAAGATTACAGCCTAGAAAACCCTATGGGGCAGTTCTACTCTGTCACATGGGGTGGCTATGAGTCGGAATGGACTCCCTGGCACACCACCACCACCACCACCACAACTAGGTGGTGCAAACGGTTAAGCTCTCAACTAGTAGCCAGAAAGCTTGACTGTTCCAGGCCTGGCGACTGCTTCCAAAAGGTCACAGCCTTGAAAAACCCTATGGAGCATAGTTCTACTCTGACACGCATGGGGTCACAATGAGTGGGAACCCAACAGCTACCAACGACAACCTTTTTATTTTAACCTCAGAGATACAACAATTACCATTCACCCCCCCACGTCAGAAATCCTCAAAAAGACAAAGTGATTGAGAACCAAGAGGCTGCACGGCTGGGAGGTTACTTGAGTGCACAGGTTGATGGGGAAACGCTGGGGGGTGGGGTGGCGAGCGGGCGGTGCTGGATTTGAGAGAGTTGGGTGGGCAAATTGGTGTGTGACACCATAGGAAGAAGGTGACTGAGCGCGAAGAAAGGTAGGGGAGTGTGGAAGAGGGAAAGTGAAGAACCAAGTGACCCCAGGATCCCAATTTCCTGCTCTAGGAAGAAATGCCTCCGAAAAATAATGTCGTGCTGTACACGAAGTGCTAAGTAACCTAAATCTTATTAGCACAAATAATGTTTCTGTAAGTCTACTCCCCTGTTGTTAGTTCCTACGAGACAGGAATGGAAAAAAATCCCACCTCTACCCAGTTCAGTCGCAGTCTGTCCTGGGGACATATATAAGTTTTCCTTCTCCCCGACAGACCTGGTCTCACAGCTAGGCCAGAAAGAATGAACCATCCACACGGAGAGACTGGATGCTTACTCCCCTGGCAGGAAAGGGATTAAGTTTCGCCCGGGCTCCCCGCCGGCAGGGTGTCCGCAGCATCCCCAGCTGCTGCGGCAGCCGCCGCCAGGCTGCCAGGCGTCCAACGGGCGCCGCCCGGGCCGAGGAGGCTGCCGGCAGCGAGAGCGTGGGAAGGCGGCGGTGCCCTTTCCCAGACTCCCGCCGGGGCGTCCGGGGAGCCACTCCACTGTCTGCGCCCGCCTAGCCGGGCTGCGCGGGAGGCCTCGGCCGCCCCCGCCCCGCACCCGAGTGCAAACTCCCGTCCCAGAAGGGCAGCGGCAGGAGCCCGGGCCCCGGCCACGCAACCGGGAGGCAGGGCCGGGCCAGAGCTGCTGCCGCCTCGAGCCTCCCACCCGGATC